GGCTTCAGTCAGCGTGAGGGGGTCGACTTCTTTCAGACCTTCTCCCCCACCCTGAAGATGACCACTCCCCGGGTGTTGCTACACGTTTCAGCCCAGCGTGACTACGAGCTGCACTCCCTCGACTTCTCGTTAGCTTTCTTGCAGGGTAGCCTTCACGAGGCCATCTGGCTGCGCCGTCCAGAGGGCTTCACTGAGTCGTTTCCTGAGGGTACCCAGTGGAGCCTACGGCGACCAGTCTACGACCTGCGTCAGGTGCCCCACGAGTGGCACGACACACTGAGGACGACACTTGCGGCTCTTTGGTTTGCTCCTTCGACTGCTGACCCGTTGCTGTTTCTACGCACCGACACTACCCTGCCGCCGTTCTACATTCTCGTGTACGTCGACAACTTGGTTTTTGCTACTGCTGACACTGAGGCGCTGGCCCTAGTGAAGGCGGAGCTGCAGGAGAGACACACCTGCACTGACCTGGGTGAGCTGCGGAGCTATCTTGGCTTGGAGATCACCCGGGACAGAGCACGGTGCACCATCACCCTGATGCAGTCACACATGGTGCACCAGGTCCTCCAGCGCTTCGGCTTCACGTGGTCCTCGCCACAGCCCACTCCTCTGGCTACAGGCCACTCGCTCTCAGCTCCACCTTCGGACGAGTCCGTAGAGCTGAGTGGTCCGTATCCAGAGCTAGTGGGCTATCTCATGTACCTGATGACGTGCACACGACCCGACCTCGCGTACCCTCTCAGCCTCCTGGCTCGCTACGTGGCTCCCGATAGACACCGAAAGGTGCACTGGGAAGCTGCTAAGAGGGTACTGCGTTACTTGTGCAGTACATCAGGCATGGGGCTTGTGCTTGGAGGACGTGGCTCAGTGGTACTTACAGGTCACTCAGACGCTTCCTTGGCCGACGACCAGGCGACTCAGAGGTCGTCACAGGGTTACAGCTTCAGTCTTGGCTCTGGTTCTGTCTCGTGGCGGTCTACTCGTTCGTCTTCTGTGCTTGGTTCCAGCTGTGAGGCCGAGATCTACGCTGGGGCCATGGCTGCACAAGAGCTACGCTGGCTGACTTACCTGCTGACCGATTTGGGGGAGCGGCCTCGTTCTCCTCCAGTTCTGTACGTCGACAACAAGGCAATGCTTGCCTTGTGTCGCGAGCAGAGGCTGGAGCACAGAACGAAGCACATTGCTCTTCGCTACTTCCTTGCACGTGAGCTGCAGCAGTGTCGTCAGCTCCGCCTTTCCTACGTGGCCTCTCGGGCCAACACTGCTGATGTGTTCACCAAGGCCCTTGGGTCTGGTGATCATCAGCGTTTCTGCACTGCTCTTGGGCTTGTGCCCACTCTGCCTCACCTGCTGGTTGCTTGACTTGCACTTGTTGTACACTGATAAATATCTTTATACCTGCATGTTTACTCTTGCTAGGTTGTGATCAGTGTACTGCCTTGCTATTATAACTCTACATGTGAACTGGCCTTGTGGTCGCTTGCTTGTGCTCAGATTGTGTGGTGTCCTTGAGATCCACCCTGAGCTTTGCTTTGCTTTGTTCTCTTGCTTGACTGGTCTTGTGACCATTTGTTGTGTTGGCTATCCCTCACTTTGCCTATGGGGGTGTGTCAAACTTTATGTTTGTTAGCTTGTAGGCTATAGTGAGGTTGACTCTAGAGGGGATAACCCAATTAGGGTTCCCTACTTGTACCACAACTCTTGCTAGTCAATCCATTCCTCTCATTCAGTTCTTGACATGTCGCTTGCGACATTCTCTGAAACAACCATCTGAAAGTCGTGGATGTTCGTGCCGTTGGATTGCAAAACAATATCTTCCAGACAGGGTCGACTGAATGGCTCAATGGTGCTTTCTGTTCAGCCCGTTTTGCTGGTTCCCGCTCCCTGAAGCTTGCACAAACTGTGGGTGGCATAGCTTATTTCCCCCAGAACCTTGCACAAACTTCTTACTTTAATCCAAACCGTTCTAAGCCAGATAGAATCTACCCTAAACAACCCACTCGCCTTGGTGGTTGGTTCCCTTTCCGCACTTGTGCTCTGCTTTCCGCACTTGGAGGGGGGAGCCGTGCTTGCTCGTGCTTACGAGATCTTGCTCTTTCACCAGGTCAAGCAATGCTTTTGGCGGCTATAGATGAAACGTTGAAATGGTGGTTATGATGACGTATACCGTCTAGCCCCGGATATAAGCGCATATGCGCTTATAATAAATTCATTTTTTTAAGGGGTGGCGCTTGTAATTGAGTAACGGCCATAAGCGCCGACGCTTTTATAATGTCAAAAATGAATTTTGTTTTTAGAGGCACGAAACTGAAGCCCTCAATAAGGCGAACAAGACCATGCACTGTACGCATGGGCTCGTGCATGAAATCCCGCCGAAAACAGCCGCGACTCGATTTCCCACCGCACAAAGCCCGTCCCGGTGCAACGCACCTGCCAGCGATGACGTGCATCCTGCCGTGCGGCCCAATAGGAATTTCATGCGCTGCCAGGGTGACACATTTCACCCGAACATTCGAGAAGGGGGTGGAATATCCCTGCCAGCGCAGCAGGTACGTGCCGCGATTCCCTCCTCTGCGGGTTTAGGCAGGGGGGGATCCGACTATCCCTGAAGAGGAACTCGAGCCGCACACCAGAAGGGGTCCCCTCCAAACCCTCATTTCTTCTCCAACTCATTCACTTTTTCATTCAGATTCTTGGTCTCGCCCGCCATGCTGCGGAAGCCATGGCAGAATTCTCTGGCACTCATTTCTTGTTCAAGAGGAAACCCACCCGTAAGCCCGCCTTCGTAGTTGACGCGGACGGATGGTACTCCCGCGTCCCACCTAGCCCACCAGAGCCACCACAACCTCCAGCGCCTCCTGCGCCGCCTGCTCCTCCCGCTCCTCCTGAGCCTCCTGCGCCTCCTGTTCCTCCTGCTCCTCCTTCTCACCCGTTGCCGGTGTCTCCTGTTCACACGGGCATTCCTCCCATGCTCACGCTTCTGCTCCCTTCGGCCTTCGACGAATACCTCTCGGAACGAAGCCCACAGATGAGTATGTGGATGTTGAATATGTGCCAGGACAGCGCTGGGGCCGTCCCGACGATTGTACGTGGGACGAATCTGCAGTCGGCGCCGACGACGAAATCCCTGACGCTGAGGAGGAGAGTCTCGAGGAGGGCGACAAAGGCGCCGAGGGTGGCACGGAGACTGAAACCGAGGCCGGCACCGCTGAGGATGTGTTTCCCGAGGGTGCGCCGGGCGGCGACGAAGACGACGGTGTTGAGTACTGGTCGCGCGACGGGCTCCCAGAGAAGTTGCCGATACCTACCTACCCTCCTACTAATCGCAAGCGACCCCACCCCGCTACACAGAAACGTGATGCCCGCCCCCCCTCTCCCAGGCATAAGCTCAACGATCACAAGCGGCAAGCCTATACCGCCGCCGAGAAATTGAAGTATGTCGCGCTTCTGCAGGTGGCAGTTTCAGTGCGTGCATTGGCTCGCGAGAGCGGTATACACCGCAAGTGCCTCTCCAACTGGAAGCATTCCGCGGAATTCCTGAAGGAAGCTCACTCCGCACGGAAGCGGATGCACGGTCGCGGGAGATCCAGCTGGTACCGACCGATGGAGATGAAGGTGTACGAGCGACTCCTCGAGTGGCGCCGCAAAGGAACCGCGGTGTCGGTGGGCCGCCTGCAGGAGTGGTCGAAGGAGTTTATGAAGGTTCTCTACCCGCTGGAGAAGTGGAAGGGGAGTCAACAGTGGTCTGAGCGGTTTCGGAGGCGCTGGAATCTAAGCGTCCGCATGAAGACAAGGGTTGCACAGAAAACCGCCGCTCGTGAGATTATGTTTACCGCCGCATACGGTAATTGTTTGTGCTGTACCATGAGATTTACTAATTGCACCGTGTGTTTCACCCTGTCTCCCACGTCTCGCAGATGTCGCGGAGTAGTGCAAGAGTTTTTTGCAGTTCGTCCGAGACAAGCGACGCGAACGCGGCATCGAGACCACGTGGATCATCAACGCCGACCAGACTCCTCTCTGGCTGGAGATGCCCGCCACCACGACCGTCGAGCAAGCGGGCGTTCGCTCGGTGCCCATCAGGAGTGCCGGTTACCAAAAGGAGCGTGTGACCGTGATGCTGGCCTGCACGGCGGACGGCGCCAAGCTCAAGCCGTGGGTTTTTTTCAAGAGGAAGACGCTGCCGAAGGGCGACTTTCCCCCGGGTAAGTGATGTTTGTATGATGTGTGTTGCTCACGTTTTTTTTTTACCGTTTCACTAATTTCTAGTTTCTCATCCCGATGTTTATTGTGCAGATGTGGTCGTGGCGTGCCACGACAACGGGTGGATGGACTCCGCGGGCGTCATCCGCTGGCTCGAAGAGTGTGTCAAGCGCGGGCCTGGAGGGCAGTTCCCGCCGATCTCATCAAGCGCGCATTCCTCACCTGTGGCATTAGCAACGCGCTTGACAGCAGCGAGGACGGCCTCGCCATGGCGCACAGGCGGACCCAGCTGACCGCGGAAGTGGATGTCGACGACGACATCATCGCCGATGGCTTCTTCGGCAACAACTGCCAGGAGCCCGAGTCTGACGAGGAGTAGCTAGGTAGAAAGGCCTTTGTAAACGCCTGTTCATTTACGGTAGTTCTTAGTAGGCCTTTGTAATTGTTGGTGCTAGATTTCTAATGACTTGCTTTCAGAGTTGTTAATTGTTAGTGTTTGTCTTAAAAAAAATGTAAAATTTAAACGTATGCGCTTATAATAAGCACGGGTACAAAATGGGGTGCGCCTATAATCGAGGAACGGCCATAAGCGCCATGCTCCAGATAGAAGCGCCGGCGCCTTTAATCGGACGGCGCCTATATCCGGGGCCATACGGTATTTCTTTATTGTCTGGTTCCTTGGCAGTTAGAATCACGGATTGGTTAACATGAGCGTCCAAAAGAGATGAGATTTCCATCAGATAACAGCCCACCAAAATGCAAACAGAGAAAACTAGAAGGGCACTCAAGAGACAGCATTATGCAAGCTAGAAAGCAAAGGCAGGCCCTGCTAAGAGCAGCACAAAGATGCTCCTTCCTGCAATAGGGCGTGCGTGTGGCAGACACACACTCACGCACGCGCATGCGCGCATGCGCGCCCACACACACATACACCCACACACACACACACACACACACACACACACACACACACACACACAGCAGCAGCAGCAGCAGCAGCAGCAGCAACTAGTTGCTGTCTGCCGCTGCTCCCTTCGTTTTGCTGCCACCCTCCCCCTTCCATTGCAAGCTTCAAATCTCCGGCTTCGAAAAAGGCTGCTTGGTAACCGGCTTCGGGAAAGGCCGCACACGAGGCTTGGTGAGCGGCTTTGTGAAAGGCTGCACACCAGGCTTGGTGAGCGGCTTCGAGCCAGGCAGCACACCAGGCCAGCCTGAGGTGACCGGCTTCCCGAAAGGCCGCACACCAGGCTTGGTGACCGGCTTGAGGACGGGCCTCACCCCCACGAATTTGCCAGGGATCTTAAGGATCGATTTGCGCACGTTCCTTCCCGCCTGCCCGAGAGAGTTCTTCACGCTGCTGCTGAAATCGTCCGAAGACCGCTTCAAGTCCGCTGCTGCATCCGCCACCGTACGGAGCACCCGCGGGTTCTCAAAGTGAACGGAGTCAAACGAGTCAATAGAGTCGACAGATTCAATAAAGTCAACGCTTTTCTTCACCTCCTCACCATCCTCAGTCAAAACCCGTGGCTGGCTGGCTGCGCCGGAGTTGACTTTCGCTCCCTCCAGCTTAGTTGGAACACCCGGCATGCCGGCGACGGGAACAGGCGGCTTGGGGACAGAGCCCGGGTTGCCCTTCACTAACTTCTTCTCAGGGGCACGAATCTTAAAGCCCAATCCCATGCTGGCCTTCAGATCAAGGCCAAGCTCCTTGGGTCCAGATCCCGGGTTGCCCTTCCTCGGCTTCTTTCCGGGTCTCCTCCCGCGCTGTTGCTTCTTCTTAGGCGCAAACTTGCCAGTGCGGAACGTCTTATCGAACGAGTTGCGCACGTTTCTCCCCGCCTGCCCGAGCGAATTCTTCACGGCGCCGCTGAAATCATCCGAAGACCACTTCAAGTCCGCTGCTACATCCGCCATCGTACGGAGCACCCGCGGGTCCTCGAAGTCAACGGAGTCAACAGAGTCAACGGATTCAAGTGAGGCATCGCTGCCAGCCCCGAGGAGAATCCGCGGGTCCTCCGAGTCAACGGAGTCAATCCACTCATTGGAGTCATCGCTATCGGCCCCGAGAAGCGCGCGCTTCTGGGGGGCTGCGCCCGAGTTGCTGTGGGTGCCCAAGGTGCTGACAGCTCCCGCCCCCTTCTTTTGAGTCGACTCAAAGGTGCTGACGGGTGCCGCCCCCTTCTTCCCAACCGCCGGCACGCCACTCTCAGCGCCCTTGGGCTTCGCGGATGCCTTGTCAGCAGTTTCCAGGTCGCCGGATGTCTTCTTGGTCGTTCTGATATGATGCTTCCTCGTCGCTGCCCACTTGACGCACCTGCCCCACCGACGCCGCACGCAGTGCCTCTTCGTCCCCTGCTTCCCTTTCTTGGGCGCCGCGGCGCTGGACTTGCCATTGGGTGAAACCGCGGAGTCCACTGGCGCGCGCGCGTTCGTCCCCGCCTGCCCGTTGAGCTGCGATTTCTTCGCGCTGCCGCTGGCGCCGTCCGACTCGGATGGCTGCTTGAAGTCCGCCGCCACATCCGCCAGAATTCGCGGATCCTCCGAGTTATCGGATTCAACCCAGTCAACGGAGTCAACTGCAGCCTCGCTGTTGGCCTCGAGGAGCGCGCGCGCGTCGTATGCTTCCTCGAGACCGGCAAACTCGCTCGCGTCGTAGTTGCTATCCGGAGGGAGCGCCGCGAGAACCGCGAGGAAGTTCAGAGATGCCACGAGGACGAGCGCGAGCAGAAAGCGAGGGCGAAACGCGCCCATGATGGAGTTCGATACTATTGCTATCAGCTGAGGTTTGAAAGAAGCGATGAGGGAGGTTGTGCTGAATTCGTTTGTGCTGAATCTGTTCCAACTCCCACCGCGTTAATTATGCTAAGCGTGAGCGCCATTTGCAGACTTGCTGGAATACTGCGGCTCGATATCAATGGAGGCGGTTCGTACCCATAATTACTCTCGTAGCGCCTCGGCCGATTGTTGGGCCTCATAGTACCGTCGATTGCGGCGCTGATCATTGGGGAATGATCGTTCGACCAGAGTTGAGCTAATGATCTGGTCACTATCGTACACCTCGAAATTATGAAACATTCGAAAATGCTGGCTGTGTTGCTGGCGCGGTTGGGTACTGTGCTGAAGGAAGGTTATCAACGGTCCGGAGTGGTTAAAGATTTTTCTGTAGGGGTCAAGGGTTCAATGTAAACTGGGTGGGAGGTGGTTCATCGCGAGATCAAGATTCACGAGTTGAGCGGGATGTGCGGCCGAGCAATAATTGCGCACCGCGATCGCAAGCACAGCACATTGTCATTCGCGTTTTAAATATTATGCACACTTCAGCCCTATTTTTAGACATGTCAATGTATACATATTCAACAAGCTCTGGCTCTAAAATATACTTATGCACATCATGACACATATATAAAATTTGAATATCCTTTTAAGCTTTAACATTCATAATAAAATTGGGCAGGCCATTTCTTTACCCTAGAACGTACATTGAGAACTTGGTGCATTAGGATTTTGTAGACACGTACTGTGCGATGAGTGCAACCAATCCAGGACTCGTTACTGAAGTGCTTCTATCGCCTCGAGAATTCTCCATTCTCTGACGAGTATCGTGCCTGTCGTTTCGGCAGAGGCATTCTCTGGCACAACCGTCTGAAGTCGGGGCTGTTAGCGCCGTTGGATCGCAAGGCAGATCTTCCAGACAAGGCCGAATGAACGGCTCAACGGTGCTTTCTGTTCAACCCGTTTCGCTGGCTGACTCGCCCTTGAAGTTGCCTCGACCTTGAAGTTGCCTCGACCTTGAAGTTGGGAGTGGCAAAATTCAGTTCCCTCAGAACTCTCACAAACTGTTTACAATCAGCTGAACCGCTTTGAGTCGGATAGAAAGTGGTGGTTGGTTCCCTTTCTCTACTGTGCTGTGCTCCCTGCTCCGCTATGCGCATTTCAGGCTGGTAGTGGTCGTCCCGCTTTCAGGCACTTCCAGGATTTCCCTTTGTGGCTCAAACCATCTCCGAGACTCCCACGAGCTCCATGATAGTTTCATGGGACGGGATTAGCAGCAGCACTTCATGATTTGCTTCTTCCCAGACAGAGTTCCATTCGTTCTGTTCATCAGAGCCTTTCTTCGTTTCACCCTCGGATTCCAGTGCTTTCTGGCTGCGGCGAGTGGTGTAAATCTCGGCGAGTAGCGAGGAACTTAGCTTCACAAGCAAGGAGGACGTCGAGCTGTTCACACCCTACTCGTTTCCGTGCCGTAGATTCACGTCATGTTGTAGCCCTAAGAATCCACGTCTTGTTGTAACCTTAGGAATCTACGGCGTGTAACCGTTAGTATATCTTCCTTATCATCATTGCTGGCGTTAGCGGTTAGGACTCTTTCAAAGTCGTGTATATCATACGTCCAGATCCTTCGTCTCAACATCAGGGGTTCGTTCGTGTATGCTTGGTGATTGCAGAACAGTCCATGCGTAACGCTTGGATAACATACCCAAGCAAGCCAATCTAGTTCAATTTCAATCCAGTTTGGAATACGCCTTTCGCATTAGCTTGAGATGCATCTCAGCGAAACCGCTGACTAGCTTCCTCGTGGTGTCCTTCTGTTCAACTGCTCTTTACATGCTTCCGTCGAAGTATCGGGATAATCGCAGCCATCGATCTTGAACGCGCTGCTGATCTCGCGGCTGACGCGTGGCCCTGGCGACGGCGGTAACCCGCAGGATGAGCGCCAACGACTACCGACCGCTTTTGCGTAACGGCGCGGGGGTTAACAACGGCGATTCCCCATTGGCTGGCGGTGACGTGGAACTTGCTGCGGATAAGATCGAATCTGCGGTGATGGTGTCTCCCGCGTCTCCCACCGCGCTGCTCTCTCCGCGTAGCATGAATTTCAGCGAGCGGGTTCCGCCTGAATGGGCCGTGCTGCTGCTTGGATGTGCTCTCGGCCTCGCCACAGGAGCCAGCGTCGTCCTTTTCAACTTGGCGGTAAGCTTTTTGACAGATACGTTCTGCCGTATACGCCTATGTTCTGCCGTATGCGTACTTACTTTTTTGCTGTCAAAATTCCTTCCTGTTTTCCTTCAGTGAAATCCTGTTTCCTCCCTTCCGTCTGCCTGATTTCCATGCGCCTTTTAACCGCTCTCCCTCCTCACCACCCGACAAAAATCACCAAGTCCACAATCTCGCCTGGCCGGTACACCAGAAGAGGGAGTGGCTTGCTTTCTCCTTTTGATCCTTCTCCTTGCTCAACCTGTCCAGGTTCACGGAATCCACAACCTAGCATGGGCCGGCACACCAGCAGAGGGAGCAGCGTGGCTGCGCGTGCAACCCATCACCACCACTTGGCACCGCATCATGCTCATCCCCGTTATGGGCGGAGTCGTTGTAGGCATGCTACACGCCCTCGGCGGAATCATAGAACAAAGCCAAAGCCCATCCCAAGCCCAGGGGCAGAACCGAGGGGCAACTCTACGCCTAGAGCAGCAGAGGGGAATAGACTGGGGAGCGGCTTTTACACCCGTAATTCGAGCCATCCAAGCAGCAGTAACCCTAGGCACTGGCTCCTCCCTGGGACCAGAAGGGCCGAGTGTGGACATAGGCAAGGCTTGGGCAGATGGAATGGCAGAGATTCTAATGAACACGCATGAGAGGAAGACAGCACTGGTGGCTGCTGGTGCTGCTGCAGGAATTTCGTCTGGTTTCAATGCGGCTGTAGCTGGGTGTTTCTTTGCCATTGAAACGGTGCTACAGTCGGTTGCTTCGGAAAACGCGCCGCCCCTTACCACTGCCATGATCATCCTCGCTTCAGTGCTCTCCTCTACAGTCTCTAACGTTGTTCTGGGTGAAGAGCCTGCGTTTACTGTACCTGAATACGAGCTGAAATCTGCTGCTGAGTTGCCATTGTACCTGCTTCTGGGGATGGTTTGCGGGGTTATTTCGGTGATATTTACCCGGTTAATCAAGTGGTCCACAGCCTTTTTCGACTTTCTCCGGGACCGTCTCGGTATCCCGCCAGCTGTCACGCCGGCATTGGGCGGCCTGTGTGTGGGGTTTATAGCGCTACAGTACCCTGGCGTCTTGTACTGGGGTTTTAGTAACGTGAACGAGATTTTGCACTCAAGAGAGAGTGCTTCCGCCCCTGGTCCGAAGCTCATGACTCAGCTGATAGCAGCCAAGATCGTTGCCACGGCGCTCTGCAGAGGCTCGGGCTTGGTTGGGGGGATTTACGCTCCGAGCCTGTTCATAGGTTCGGCGGTAGGCTCGGTGTATGGGTCGCTGGCGGGTGCGGCTATCCAGGCTGCCATTCCTGGGAAGGCTGAGGTCGCGGCTCCTCAGGCGTATGCTCTGGTGAGTTAGTGGTGTGGAGGGATTCTGATGTGGTATGGTTGAGGAAGGTGAGGATGAGGTGCTGAGGTTTTTGGTGCATGCTTTGGTGCGCTGTTTTTGGTGAGGGGTGCTGATGTGGTATGGGAGAGGGATGGATGGGTGGGTAGGTTAAAATCATCAGTTGGCTTGGCTGTTAAAGTAAGACTGGAGTCGCTTTTCGATGGGGTATGCTCAGGTCAGAGAGCATAGCTGCACTTGAACACGCTTGTATGGAGTATAGAATGTCCTTGTACAAGGTGTTCGGATTATTCGAATCTGGAATGATGGAGCATGCTACTCAAGAGCCATTTACTCTTCCCTTGTTGCTCTTTCATTCCCTCACTATGGTTCCCGCGTTCTGCGCTTCCCATCGACCATCCCCCTTCTATCTTCCCCCCTCTACAGGTCGGCATGGCAGCAATGCTCGCCTCTGTGTGCTCCGTGCCTCTCACATCCGTGCTGCTCCTCTTCGAATTGACTAAGGATTATCGCATTCTGCTGCCACTCATGGTACGTCCTGCTTCTTTCTCTGCTGTCTCGGTAGTAACATCTGTGTCTCCTGCTGCTCTTCGAATTGACTAAGGACTACCGCATCCTGCTGCCGCTCATGGTATGTATGATCCTGAAAGTAGATATGTTTTTTATCTAAAGAGAGAGAAAACAAAAAGAACTAAAACTAAAACTTCACTTTTTTTTATGTCCTTTTCCACGCCAAGCCCATGTCTCATCCCACTTTCCTCCCTTCACCCCAACTACCCCCTCCCCGATCCTTTTCCCGCTCCCAGGGCGCAGTGGGCCTCACCTACTGGGTCTCCTCAGTCGCCAACCGCAAGAAATCCGTTCTCTCCCACGCCAAAATCAAGCCTCATCCCTCTTTCTTTCCTCCCTTCATCCCATCTTTCCCCTCCGCCCCCAACTCCCCTCTTCCCAGGGCGCAGTGCGTCTGGCCTACTGGGTCTCCTCAGTGGCCAACCGCAAGAAGCCCGTTCTCTCGCACACCAAGCTGACGCCTTAGCCCTCTTTCCTTCCTTCACCCCATCATCCCTTCCCATCCTTCTTCCCTTCTCCTCCCCCCTCCCTCCCTCCCTGCCCCCTCTCTCCCTTTGTTGTGTGCAGGGCGCAGTGGGGCTGGCCTACTGGGTCTCCTCAGTGGCCAACCGCAAGAAGCCCGTTCTCTCCCACACCAAGCTCGCCCCCGGCTCTGCAGCAGCCTTTGCTGCTGCCGGCGGGCATGGCGACTCAGCCCTCACACTCTACTCACCCCTCGGGACAGCCATGAACGGCCATGCTTCTCACCAGCAGAATCTAGCCCTTTTGCACGAGCATCACGGCCACTCGACGCATTTCGGGGGGCCGCCGCTGTCCCCGACGCAGCTCAGGGCGTCTTCGTCTATCTCGTGGCATCGGGGGAGTGGGAGCAGCAGTACTGGTGGCGGGAGTGGTGCGGAGGAAATGGAGTTGTGTGCGGTTGAGGGGTTTGCGGGGGGTGTGGAGGCGGCTCTGAGTGTTGATAGACTGCTGGACGAACTCAAGGTGAGCGCCTGGGGTGTACTGGGAAGTGTAGTAGTTGAGTGCGGTTGAAGGGTGTGGAAGGCGGCTCTGAGTGTGAATAGACTGCTGGACGAACTGAAGGTGAGTGAGTTCATAGGGCGCACTGGGAACTACAGGAGTTGAGTGTGGTTGAGGGGTATGCTGAAGGGGTGAGAGGCGGCTCTGAATGTGGATAGACTGCTGGACGAAGTCATGATGAGCAAGTGTGCGGGGGTTGTGTGCTTAAGGCAGAAAGGAACGAGGAGTTGAGTGCGGTTGAGGGGTATGCTGAAGGTGTGGGGGCGGCCCTGTGTGTGGATAGTCTGCGGGACGAAGTCAAGATGAGCAAGTCCATTATATATGTGTTCTCTATCCTCCTTGATATTGCAGGGTTTTTTGAGAATTCTCAAAAAAACCCTGCAAGTCAAGATGAGCAAGTCCATTATATATGTGTTCTCTATCCTCCTCCCCCCGCTGTGACTTTTGAGTCGACTCAAAAGTCACTTTGTGTGGAGAGTCTGCGGGACGAATTCATGATGAGCAAGTCCATTATGTGTGTGTTCTCTATCCTCCTCCCCCCGCTTTACCCCCAGGTGGCTGCAGCAATGAGCACCACCTTTGTGTCAGTGCGAGCAGCGCCACAGTAAGAGAAGCCGTGCTGGCTCTACTTGAAGGCCGCGCAGACTGTGCCATGGTGGTGGACGCAGAGGGGCTGCTGGAAGGCAAATTAAGCTTACACCCATTCATTTCCTGCCCCCTTCACCCCTTCACCCCCAGGTGGCTGCAGCAATGAGCACCACCTTCATGTCAGTACGAGCAGATGCAACAGTAAGAGAGGCTGTTCTTGCCCTCCTTGAAGGCCGTGCAGATTGTGCCATGGTGGTGGACGCAGAGGGGCTGCTGGAAGGCACTCTCTCTGTCTTCCCTTTTGCCCTGACCCCTATCCGCCCCCCTACCCAACCCCCCTCCCCTTCCCCAGGTGGCTGCAGCAATGAGCACCACCTTCGTCTTGGTTCGAGTGGACGCAACAGTAAGAGAAGCCGTGCTCGCCCTCCTTGAAGGTCGCTCAGACTGTGCCATGGTGGTGGATGCAGAGGGGCTGCTGGAAGGCACGCTCTCTCCCTCCCTCTCTTGTGGGCTAACACCCTTTTTTTTCCTTCTTCCCTTCCCTGCCCTCCCTTCCCCCAACCCCCCAGGTGGCTGCAGCAATGAGCACCACATTCGTGTCAGTGCGTGCAGACGCCACAGTAAGGGAAGCCGTGCTCGCTCTACTGGAGGGGCGTTCAGACTGTGCCATGGTGGTGGATGCAGAGGGGCTGCTGGAAGGCACTCTCTCTCTCACTGATGTACACCGGGAGCTTCGCCGATCCTCCATTATCAGCGCGGCCGGCACGGCCAGCCACCGAGGCTCGGCGATCGCCGGACCTGGAGGCTCGGCACGAAGCTCGGTTGTGGGTGGAGTGGGTGGTGGTTCGGGAGGAGGGGTAGGAGGAGGTGGGGGGAGTCATAGAGGCTCGGCAGTGTCGGTTGGGCTTATGCCTGTTGGAGGAGTGGGAGGAGTGGGAGGAATGGGAGGGTTGGAGAGGGCATTATCACACAGAGCGTCTGTTGCTGCCTCTGAACTGGCTCCTGTAGGCGTGGAGGTGAGTTACTCCTTCCGCCCTCACTTTTTTCTTCCGCCCTCACTTGTTGCTTCCACCCTCCCTTGTTGCCTCTGCCCCCACTTGTTGCCTCTGCCCCCACTTGTTGCCTCTGCCCCCACTTGTTGCCTCTGCCCCCACTTGTTGCCTCTGCCCTCACTTGTTGCATCCGCGCTCCCTTGTTGCTTTTGTGTGCGCACATTCATTCTCTCTCCCTCCATCTCTCGGCTCCTCCTCTTTCACCTGTCATTCTCCGCCCTTTCTCCCTTGTGTTGTGCCCCCAGGTGCATGAGATGCTGGTGGGAGCGGTGTGCACGGGCACCAAAGCCCACGGAGACTCCGTGCTGTGTGCTTTGCAGTCTTGCCTGCTTCTGCATGCCTCCTGCCCCATTGTCTCGTCCCCAACCCACCCCCCCGCTTACACACACACAGGTGCATGAGATGCTGGTGGGAGCGGTGTGTACGGGCACCACAGCCCACGGAGACTCCGTGCTGTGTGCTTTGCAGTCTTGCCTGCTTCTGCATGCCTCCTGCCCCATTGTCTCGTCCCCAACCCACCCCCCCGCTTACACACACCCAGGTGCATGAGATGCTGGTGGGAGCGGTGTGCACGGGCACCACAGCCCACGGAGACTCCGTGCTGTGTGCTTTGCAGTCTTGCCTGCTTCTGCATGCCTCCTGCCCCATTGTCTCGTCCCCAACCCACCCCCCCGCTTACACACACCCAGGTGCATGAGATGCTGGTGGGAGCGGTGTGTACGGGCACCACAGCCCACGGAGACTCCGTGCTGTGTGCTTTGCAGTCTTGCCTGCTTCTGCATGCCTCCTGCCCCATTGTCTCGTCCCCAACCCACCCCCCCGCTTACACACACCCAGGTGCATGAGATGCTGGTGGGAGCGGTGTGTACGGGCACCACAGCCCACGGAGACTCCGTGCTGTGTGCTTTGCAGTCTTGCCTGCTTCTGCATGCCTCCTGCCCCATTGTCTCGTCCCCAACCCACCCCCCCGCTTACACACACCCAGGTGCATGAGATGCTGGTGGGAGCGGTGTGCACGGGCACCACAGCCCACGGAGACTCCGACCTCGTCGTGTGCTTCCCGGACCAGACGCTGCGTGCCGCCCGCCACCTAATGCTGCCGAGGAACCTGGCGGTGCTGCCTGTGGTGTCTCGGTCCGGCAAGCGGTGGCAGGACCGGGGGAGGAAGCTGGTTGGCATACTGGAAGCATCGGCTATCCGTGCCACATGCCAGTGAGTTGCGCATGGTAGCATGGGCTAGTTACTGAGAACACAATGCATGTATCCTAGCCCTGTGGTGTCTCGGTCCGGCAAGCGGTGGCAGGACCGCGGGAGGAAACTCATGGGAGTGCTGCAGGCATCGGCTATTCGTGCCACATGCCAGTAAGTTATAGTCATAGTTGTGCTTGCTATATGGATGTTACGTGTCAGCTAGTTGCCGGTAGCACCCCGCTTTGGGTGTCTCGGTCCGGCAAGCGGGGGCAAGGGGAAGGGGGGAAGCTGGTTGGAGTGCTGGAGGCATCAGCTATCCGTGCCACATGCCAGTGAGCTGGATCAGTGCTTGAGCTGTGGAAGAAACTGGTATAATTGAGGTGGTTTGCCTCAACCGCACGAAAGTACCATGTGTGAGGCAAGTCCGGCAAGCACATGCCAGTGAGTGGGGATGTGGCTAGATGTGTACATGTGGGTAGATGTGGCTTAACCTGCATGCTGGTATCTAACTACGTGGCATGTGGATGTGCTACGTGCATGTGTGGGTATGGTATCACTTTCTTTTGCGGATGTATAATGTGCGTGGGGCTATGATATCCTGTCTCATCCTGTCTTCTATGGATATGCCTTGCGTGCTTTAGAAGTCTGTTAAGGAATTATAGCACTGCGGGGAAGCTGAGGGCTTCCTGAAAGCACACAGGTTGTTACTGCTCTGTGTCGGTGAGGTGTTGAGATGTGGGTATTACCACGATATGTATTGTTACACTTACACGCTTCATCAGTGACTGACTGTGGAACGAGTGGCTTTACCAACGAGTGCATGTGGTTTGTCGCGTCCTAACATTTGAACCCCTCGTTTCTGTGCATTTCAGAGCGGAGGCAACCCGTCGGATATTGGGAGTACCGGAGGAACCACAAGAGGCATCACATGGTGCTGGTGGTCATTGAAGACTTTCCTTGAAGAGTCTCAGAAGAGGTTTTATTGATGCGAGTTACACTTAACGCCTTTGGTTTTCAGTCCAAACTTGAGTCCTTATACCACCCTGTATATTGCAAGTGATAATAATTGAATTCGTTGCCTCAGTCATATTGCTTTCGAGAGTAGGCCAGCAAAACAAGGTTTACAGTAGCGGGTAGAAGACTCGAACGGTAACTGCGTTCTGTGCAACACGTGTCCAAAATGGCAACGACGAAATGCGGTGCAAAATTGGCGGAATTGAGAGATGCGGCTCGTCCGACTACTTCAATTTCAGGCCAAATCTGTGTTGAGCTGGCAGCGAGTGTGCATTGAGTTGACGAAACTCATACGTCAGAAACCTGGCATGGTTGCTGCAGCTACGGTAGCATTGGGATTTGTGTTGAGTTTATCCGAATTTCACCTCGTAAAACTCGGCATGCACGCACGAACGCACCGTGCAATCTCACCAACTGGGGTTCTGTGTTTTCGCGGCTGCTGTTCACGCAGCTAATCGAGTCCGAACCGAAATTGCGTCGCAGAACTCGGCATGGGCGCGCACGAATGCACCTTGAAGCGATGGCTGACAACGCTGAGCACCGCTCGTCGATTCGGAACCGCACGATCGTGTCCTACCCTCCAACATGACCGTCGCACCTTATCCTGCTGGGTGGCAGCGGCGCTTTTGTGCGCTCACTTCTCATCCCAGCGGAATGCTCCCGCCAGCGGCACACGGGCTATCATTCTCTCGCGGCTGCATCTCACTCACCACACAGGCGCGATGTTCTCAGTTTATGGCAGCGGCTGCCACAAATCGGGGCAGCGTTATTTCTCCCGTTGGGAACGTCAGAAGGCATTCAAGACGCTGTTAGGTTGGCTGGCTGGTTAATCGACCTGCCACGGCCCGTTAGTAGCAAGTTGAAAGTACTGATCCTCAACAGTAAGCAGGTAGTAGCACTGATTCAATTGGTATAGTACGGTGTGGATGTGGTGTGCATGGATTCTGAGTCGGTTGCAGCGCACAAGTCCCCGTCAGATAGCCCTCGCGAGCTGCGGCAGATCTTCTTTAAGGCGGGCGTGACCATGACGCCCAAGGAGTATCTGTGGCCCGACCCTGCGGCTTCTGCGACAGAAACGCCTGGGAAACCACCTGAAGGACCACCTGAGGAGTCAACTGGTTTGGCACCTGTCGACAATTCATCCAACCGCCCCGCGGCGGAATCGTCTGCTAAAATCAAGGACCCGTGGAAATCTTCAGAGCTTCATCCTGCCGTCGGTTCTCCGAAAGTGTCCGCTAAAACGAAGGACGCGTTGGCGGCCCCGGAAGCTGCCGCTGCCTTTTCTCCTTCTGACGCTGCTGTTGCTGCAGTTAAGACCACTGGCCAGCCTGGTGAAAGTCCCGGTACAACGACACTGGGAGACAAGGGCTGGGAGGGGGAGGGGGAGGTGGCTTCGTCTAAAATTCCCCCTACTGGTAAACGGAGGTATGGCAGCGGGTTGTTGCTTCCCCGTTCATTGTTCAGGAGGAGGGGGCGGGATAGTCAGTCGGGGAAGGAACGTGAGCTTGAGATTGGTTCTGAGAAAATGGTTGAGGCAACGCAAAAAGGGCGCGAGATTGCGTCACGGGAGGGGAAGGGGGTTGTTGGAGGGGAGACGGGTGAGGATATCCGTGCCGTTGATGTGGGAGAGCCGCTGATGGCCGTTGATCTTGGACCGGAGAAGAGAGGCGGAAGGGCGGCAGCGGGAGAGAGAGGGGCGGAGGGGGAGGGGAGCAGCGTGGGAAAGAAGGTGGAAGGGGAGGTGCAACCACCAGGGCGGGCTGTAAGGAAGGAAGGGGGAGGCCTATCTACCGAGAGTGAGGGGTGTGAGGAGAGTGAGAAGAGTGAGAAGAGTGAGAAGAGTGAGGAGAGTGAGAAGAGTGAGAAGAGTGAGAAGAGTGAGGAGAGTGAGAAGTGGGAGGAGAGTGAGGCAATCCCTACTAAGGATCAAGTCTTGGGAAGGGAGAGAGTCAAGGAAGGCGAAGGAGGTGGAGAGGAAGTGGGGGAAGGAAGAGAAGGACGAGGAGTGGTGCGAGGGGAAGAGGGGCGGGCTGGGAGGGTTGGGAAGGAGCAGAGGGCGGAGAGGGCAGAAGGCTCGGGAGGAGTGGTGACGCTGAGGCGCATGAAGGACGCACTGAGGAGCGTGCTGTGGCCGCAGCGGGAGCAGCGGGAGCAGCGGGAGCAGCGGGAGCAGCGGGAGCAGCGGGAGCAGCGGGAGAAGCAGACACATGCTCGTGCATCCCCAGGTGAGCTTCAAGGCTATCCAGTGACCTCTCTTCCGCCGCCAGCCTCCAAAGTGAACTGCCAGCGCACTGCCAGCGCCCGTAGCGACACCCCCTTGCTCTTTCACTCGTTTCTTACTCTTCATGTCCCTACCCGCCCATGCCATGCCCTCCTTCCAGGCCCTCCAGTGGACGCGCTTGCCTCGCCTCTCAGCCACGTGCCTCCCAAGCGCACTGCCAGCCTCCCTAGTGACACCCTGCTGCTGCACCACGAGGTGCCTGCAGTGCCTGTAACGGAGCAGCCTCTAACGGGGATGAGGGAGGCTGCAATACTCTCCCACCCACCCCCACATCCTCCTGCTGCTGCTTCGTCTGGTGATGCGGCTTCTGCTGCTTCTGCTGCACACAATCCTTTGAATTTAGCTCCAGGTCCCTTCCCTTGCAGCAGTCACATTGACGTGTCCCTTCCATACAAGCACATGGGGGAGGAAGGCCCTGTGGAGCATGAGCTGCATCGCCTTGGGATTGGATCCCTGAACCCAGATAAGGAGGCTGGAGAAGCGAGTGGAGAAGAGGGAGGAGGAGAGGGTGGGCAGCATGTTGAAGGGGGGAAGAAAGGGGAGGAGGAGGACAGGCAGAGGAGGGAGAAGAGACAGGAGGGTCTGAGAATGATTGCACCGGATTGGCTCGAGGTGGAGAGGCAGCCCGAGGCAAAATCAAAGGGGGTTCTGATTTCAGGCCCAGCTGCTGTGAAGGGGGGAGTGGAAGGGAAGGGGAAGGGGAAGGGCGGAGTGGAGGGGGAGGGGGAGGGTGGAGGAGGCGTGGAGGAAGAGAGGGAGATGGTATTGTCCCCGCCCAGGAGGATAGGTGGAGATCTAGAGAAGGCAGGAGAGCTGCCGCACAGCCCGCCACCGTCCCCAGTCTCACCTGCCCCAGTCACACCTACTCTTGTGTCACCTCGCTCACCACCCCATCATGAGAGCTCTGCTGAAAAGAAATGGTCTGCAAGGCCTAGGCTGAAACTCCCTTTCTTCTCCCCTCCTGCCCCAGCCGCTGTCTCTGCTGCTGCCGGTGGTGGTGCTTCTGCCTCTGCTGCCCGCACCCCCCTTCGCCTTGACCTTTCTGCTGCCCCGCCCTCGCCTGCTGCGGAAGCTGCTGAGAAGCTTCGGGAGCGGGCGAGACGGATGGGGATAAGGCGTCAGTCACAGTCGCAGGCGAGAGGAGAGCAGAAAGGAGGGAAAGGTGAGACGGGGGAGCAGGTGGATGAAACGGGGAGGAAGGAGAAGGAAGAGCAGGTGGAGGGGGTGTTTACAGCTGCAGAGAGGGATAAGATGAGAGACGCCCAAGGGAGCATTCAACACGCAACGAGGACTCTGAAGGGGAGGACGTCTAGTCTTGGAAGTCGGGAAAATTTGGGCGAGGTGGGTAAGTCGGGTGAGCCAGTGGGTGTCGGGCCGGTTTTGAGTGGTCGGGAGTTGAAGCAGATGGAAGGGACGCAGCAGATGGTCAAGTCTGCTTCTTGGAATCTGAAGTGGGACGCTGATGAGTTCAAAGAAGAGTAGCACGTGTCTATACAATAAGTGAACACGATGCTGTGCTGCTTTTCCTGTACATTTGCATCTAATGTTCTTCTGTTTTGTGTCGGTGGCTTGGCGTTCAATGTTGTAGGGTAGTACTTGTACAAATTTAGATTCCGCATTTTGTATGGGCCTACCTTTGTTGAACAGTGTACAACCCGAGGCAATGCCGTACGCGTTGTAACTCCGGTATCCTCAAAGCAATGCCCACGTCCTCGCTGTGCCATTTCCCTTCGCTGTCGGCGGACCACTTGACTGGCGGTAACATATGAGTTGTTGCCCTACGGTTCGTTTCTGAGCGACACAATAAGGTGGTTTGCTTTTAAAAGCGGTCAAATAAGGTGATTAGACTGGCTGGGAGGAATATTGTTTTTGGGTTGCGTAGCAACCTTATACATTTGTTTTCACTTTTCGGTTGACTGGCGTGAACAGTGATTTCCCCCCATCAATTTTGGAAGAAATCACTGTTCACGTCAGTTCCACGAAATGTGAAACCAAATGTATCCAATTATTCCAAAATCGTCGATACGTACGGCGAATGGAACAATTGGACAAGCACTCAAACACATATACCACACAAATGACCACACAAGGACTTGCACAGAATCTACAATGCATGTTTTGAGGTGAATACTAAATGCATCAATGCTGCAACAGTGATTGATATGGTACGGAAGATGCGAGCAAAGCTGCCCCACCGACGATCACAATCCCAGTTGCATACACGAGGCACATAGCACCATACCCCGAAACAGACACGAACACTTACACGCGTATGGACATGTACGCACACATACATATACAGCCTCACACATACACAGACGCACATAAACAAGCAAAAAAAACATACTGCTAATAAGCATGCAAGTATAACGAATGAAGTGCAGCCATGTATAAATCATCTCTAACCTGTCACCCATTCCCCTCCCTCCCTCCCTCCCTCCCTCCCTCCCTCCCTCCCTCCCTCCCTCCCTCCCTCCCTCATCTCCCTACCCCCCATCCCTTCTCTCTGCAAAAAACAAAGGCTGCAGCTTGAACTCCCTGCACAGGAAAAAGAAAAACAGCAAATGCGACTCATTTCCTGCACAAACAAAAACAAAAGCAGAGAATACAACTTTGTATGAGTTGCACAAGAAAATAAAACCATAGAATGCTGCTCACACGCTGCACGAGAAACATGATTTCAATGCACAAGAAACAAAACCAGCGCCATATAAATTGACGATCAACAAAATGCATGCAATACCTTGCAGACACCCTTGCACTCACTTTCACATTCACCCTCGTACTCATGCTCGCACTCACTCTCGCACTCACTTTCCCACCCACTCACGCACACTCAACTTTTCTTAGACACACTCTCTAAAACACACACTCAATCCCTAGCACTCACCCTTGCTCTCATGCTCGCGCTCACTCTTGCACATGGACACACAATTGCACGAACCCTCGCACGCACCCCTAACTCACCATTGCACTCACCGTCAGACTCACCCTCATACTCACTCTCGCATCCACTCTCGCATCCACTCTCGCACCCACTCTCGCACCCACCCTCACACTCACTTTCGCACTCACCTTCACACTCATGCATGCACTATCAGAATCTAGCAGCAGGAATGATTGAACTATGAAAGAGTTGGGTACAAGTATGAAACCCTAAAAGGGGCTGTACCCCATATTGGCTACCCCACTACAGCCTACACATATATAACAAGCATATGCTTTGACACACCCCCATAGGCAAAGTGGGGGAGAGCAAGGGGTCACAAGACCAGTCAAGAGAAGCAAAGCAAGCTCTGGGTGGATCACAACGTCACCACACACACTGAGCACAAGCAAAGGGCCACAAGGCCAGTTCATATGCAGAGGTATATATGCAACAACAACAGCACAGTGATCTCTACCTAGCAGAGCAAGCATGCAGGTATATATATAGATCACAGTACAAGCAAAATCTACAGGAAGTGAGGAAACGTGGGCACAAGGCCTAACAGAGTGCAAAAACGCTGATGATCACCAGACGGAAGCGCCTTGGTGAATATATCAGCAGTGTTGGCCCGAGTGGCCACGTGAGCAAGACGAAGCTGACCACGCTGCTGCAACTCTCGAGCCAGGAAGTAACGCAGAGCGATGTGCTTCGTTCTGTGCTCCAGTCTGTGCTCCTGACACAAGGCAATGGCGGCCTTGTTGTCGACGTACAGCACTGGAGGAGAACGAGGCCGCTCTCCCAAGTCGGTCAGCAGGTAGGTGAGCCAGCGTAACTCCTGTGCAGCCATGGCTGTGGCGTAGATCTCAGCCTCACAACTGGAGCTGAGAACTGAAGACGAGCGTGTAGAACGCCAAGAAACCGAACCAGAGCCAAGGCTGAAGGTGTAACCCTGTGACGACCGCTGCGTAGCCTGGTCGTCAACCCAAGAAGCGTCTGAGTGCCCAGTGAGGACAACGTCGCTCCGTCCTCCAAGCACGAGCCCCATGCCCGATGTACTGCACAAGTAGCGTAGTACCCTCTTAGCAGCATCCATGTGCACCTTTCGGTGCCGACCAGGAGCCACGTAGCGAGCCAGAGGGCCAAGAGGGTACGCAAGGTCAGGACGAGTGCAGGTCATCAGGTACATGAGGCAGCCCACTAGCTCTGGATAAGGACCACTCGGCTCTACGGACTCGTCCGAAGGTGGAGCTGAGAGCGAGTGACCTGTAGCCAGAGGAGTGTGCTGTGCCGAGGACCAGGTGAAGCCGAAGCGCTGAAGGACCTGCTGCACCATGTGTGACTGAGTCAGTGTGATGGTGCGGCGTGCTCTGTCCCGGGTGATCCGCAAGCCAAGATAGCTTGTCAGCTCACCCAGGTCTGTGCACGTGTGTCTCTTCTGCAGCTCCGACTTCACCAGGGCGAGAGCCTCAGTGTCAGCAGTGGCAGAGACCAAGTCGTCGACGTACACGAGGATGTAGAACAGCAGCAGCGAAGTGTCGGTGCGCAGAAACAGCGACGGGTCAGCAGTTGACGGAGCAAACCCAAGAGCCGCAAGTGTCGTCCTCAGTGTGTCGTGCCACTCACGTGGCGCCTGGCGGAGACCGTAGACCGGCCGCCTGAGGCTCCATTGGGTACCAGGAGGGAACGACCCAGTGAAGCCAGGTGGGCAGCGCAGCCAGATCTCCTCGTGCAGGCTGCCCTGTAAGAAGGCTGTGCTGAAGTCAAGAGAGTGAAGCTCGTAGTCACGCGGAGCGGCAACGTGCAGCAGCACCCGAAGAGTGGTCATCTTCGGGGTGGGGGAGAAGGTCTGGAAGAAGTCTACTCCCTCTCGCTGACTGAAGCCTCGTGCAACGTAATGCGCCTTGAAGGCAGGCGGAGAACCTGGCGGCCGCTTCACCCTGAAAATCCACATGCCACTGACGATGTTCGCCCCAGGTGGGGGAACCTCGTCGACGTAGGTGCCTGTGGACTTCCAAGATGTCATCTCTGCGTCCATGGCTGTCTGCCACTGAGAGGAGTACTCACCCGCGATCGCCTCAGCGTAAGAGCGCGGGGTCGGGATGTCTGGAGCATCCGGGTCTCCCTCAGGGGCAAGCAGCATGGACACGAGATGAGGCGCAGCGGCTGCAAGACACTCAAGGTCCTCCTGCCTGTCCTCAAGGACGTCCGTGTCAAGAGCACACTCACCCCCAACGGACGGAGGACAGACAGACTCAAACTCAGCAACAAGACTAGCGGCGTAGTCTAGACGACAGGCAGCAGCAAAGTCAACAAGCTCAGCAACTAAGGCAGACGTAGCAGCAGACTCAAACGACGGGTCAGTGACAACAGTGGCTAGCAGACGCGTGACAGTAGGGTGCTCAGTACGAAACCGGTCAGACTCGGGGTCCGCAACGACAGGCAGGGAAGACGCAGGAGGGGACGGCAGAGGAACACGCTGCGGAGGAGGGGAAGGACAACGGACTACGAGGTGGGTGTCGGGGACAGCCAGCAGACGCGGACGAGGAACACGACGACCGGAACGACCAGAACAGACAGGCGAGACAGGACGCGACGCAGGCTCACGACGCTCAGTAAGACCCCCTAGCTGCTCAGTGTAAGGAGAAGGAGCAGGCAGCGGTGAGTCAGGCTGTAACGGAAGACCAGTAGACAAAGGGAGACTAAGAACGTGGCGAAGCACTGAGTCAGGCGGTGGCTGAGACGACGGAGACGGTGGAGCGAAGAACAGGCGCGGCTGTGCAGTGACACCAGCACCAGCAGCTCCAGTACCCCCAGTAGTTCCAGCACCTCCAGCAGCTCCAGAACCTCCAGCGCCAGCACCCTCAGCAGCTCCAGAACCTCCAGCTCCAGCGCCACCAGCGCCAGTACCTCCAGCAGCTCCAGAACCTCCTGCGCCAGCACCCTCAGCAGCTCCAGAACCTCCAGCTCCAGCGCCACCAGCGCCAGTACCTCCAGCAGCTCCAAAACCTCCAGCGCCAGCACCCTCTGCAGCTCCAGAACCTCCAGCTCCAGCGCCACCAGCGCCAGTACCTCCAGCAGCTCCAGAACCTCCAGCGCCAGCACCCTCAGCAGCTCCAGAACCCTCAGCGCCAGCTCCTCCAGGACCAGCTCCACCAACAGCAGCACCCCCAGAACCGGCACCTCCAGTCCCAGGGTCTCCAGCCTCAGTGCCTCCAGCAGCAGCACCCTCAGGCTCAGTACCTCCAGCCCCAGCAGCTCCAGTACCTCCAGTACGAGCACCTCCGGGACCAGCACCACTCCCAGCTCCAATGACGTCAGCAGAAGTACCTCCAGCGGCAGAGCCCCGAGCTCCAGAAGCGCGACCCTGACGGCGACCGTACCAGTCGTGCAGCTGCTGCGAGGTGAGAGGCACACGCGGACGAAGGCGGCTACTCCAAGGAAACCGCGCAACAGCAGACTCAGAACCCTCAGGGCCAGCACCCGCAGCAGCTCCAGAACCTCCAGCGCCAGTACCACCAGCGCCAGCACCTCCAGCAGCTCCAGAACCTCCAGC